GGCACCGGAGCATGCGGGCGAAATCGACCCGTGGCGCACGGACAAACATTTATATCTGATCTGTGTTGTCAATTTTTCTCGTTTTTTTCCTGATTTTCGGTGTTGGTTCTATGTGATGACGTCGTCACTGGTTTTGTAGAGAGACCCGTCAGAGATGGCGTGGCTAACCCGGGTGCATTGGTTATGTGCCTGATCGTGGAAGACCCCTTCAATGTGGAACGATTCTTAGCTAGTGTCGATATTTTTCACTGCAGTGCCTAACACAGACGATCGGGAGAGATTCGGGTGATTGTCAATTGCTGCTATGATGGCTTTGGTTGGTTGTTCTTTTTCACTGTACGGCCGCAGACACATTCTGACAGCACTTCAGACAGCAGCTTTGTGCCCCGCCAGCTGCTTGTTCCATGCCTACCATGGTGTTTTTGTACAGACAGCACTTCAGACAGCAGTATGCTGTAGTCGGCAATCTTCCGTTTTGGGATAGAGTGGGACAGGGAGGGGGGGGTGATGATACTGTAGTCGAACGGTGAGACGGACGTGCAGTTCAGTTTTTGGGCACGCATACGGTGCTGCAGGGATTTTTAGGTGTACCTCTTCGGGCTCTTGGATACCTTTTTCTCGTTATATGTGTGCGTGTTCTTTAGATCCTCAGATGGCTCTAGCACTTTCGTGACCACGGGCTGAGAGTCTTTGCTAGATTTTGGCATTTAGCAACTGACACACGGTTTAATGTGAAGTCAACAACAACAACAACAACATACTCTTGTTCCAGAGACAAAGTTCCCGTAATTAATCGATACCTATTCCACGAGAAAGAGTCCAGGACAAATTACTAATAGGAATGAAACCCGTCGCGTTAGCAGAGGCCATACGATAAACACCTGTGCTTTAACGATTCTCCGAGCAGCATACCAGTGATACCTCCCTTAAGTCCGTTCCGCGGGACCCCTGCCAACTTGACAAGCCAAAACAAACACCCTCAATTTATAATGCAAAATTGATCAATTGTTTCCTCTCTACAAGTCAGCATGTGCACACACGAACCCCCGTCGAAATAAGGACGTAAAGCTGGTACGTGTACAGCAACCGGTGTCACCCCGCTAGAACGGTCAATGCTAGCGACAGAAGGATTACACCACGCAAACCCATGCGTAGGCACTGATCCCACAGAAATGTATGTACTTCTAATACGGTATGCACCACACAGCAGTATTCCTCACGTCTTGAGGTCGAAGTCGGTAGCGGCCGCCGCGCACCGCAGGGTGGAAGCACCCCCCCGCCTGGCCGAAGCACGCCTGCCCGCGGATGCCCCTTTCCTGCTGTTGCTGCTGCGCACCGAAGAAGCGACCGGACCTCCTCCTGCCACGACGAAGGCGGTCGTTGTCGTTGTCGAGCAAACGCACCCTGCGGCGATCGCAGCCACCGCTACGCCCTTCATCGTGGCTCTTGTTGGGGATGTCTACAGCTGTACAAGAAGAAGAAGAAGGCTGCTGCTCGCAACACAAAAAGCGAAAGCACAGACAAACGTTGTCGAGAAAACGCGTGCAAGCGGGCAGCAACGAGATCGGAAAAGGGGGTCGGTGTGAACTAACTGTGGTATGCAAACCGAAAGGAAGAGTGTTACCAAGGTTGAAGTGTGCACGTTGTCGTTGCTGCAGCACACGGGAAACAACAGACCGTCGTCTTCAAAGTCGAACGCTTTTCCTCCAAGATGCTGAGAGAATATTTTCCCACCACGTCCCAATTTCGTCATCGCTCCTGCGCCCATGTGGCGATCATTCCAATCATCATCGCCGTCCGTGCTGCATACTAATCGGATTTCACACAAGACAATTTGAAAGTCTGAATCTTTCATCCTAAAACAGTTTTTAAAGCGAGGCGTCGCAATGTTTCATCTGGAGAACGAGTGCGATCTGCTGTGATCGCGTGTGGAGGATGTTTCTGGGTCAACTTCTATTTCCGTTCTTGATTTCTTGTAAGGTGTAAACTTGTCTTGGGAAGTTGGCCTGTGATCATAGAAGCCGTCCTCGTCAGTTGGACCGGAACGGATACAAAAAGGTGGAGGCATGGGAAGACCACAACAAAAATGTGCGGTAGCATCACGGGCGCGTGTTTTTCCGCGAGCTGAACAAGTCAGCAACTGGCTTAATGTAAACGGGCGGCCCATTCGCGTGCCAGCCCTCGCGGCGTTTGGATTGTCGCGGCATCACAAGCAGTGCTCAGTCTACAGCAGCAGTGGTATGCATAGAAAGCAGCAGGCGTCCTTTCGTGTGCTGTGCAGCCGACCAACGGCAGCCGCAGTGCCATGCCGAGGGCGTAGCACACGACAGGCTTTTCCCCGCTGCGTGCTTGCCATGAATCATGTACGAGAGAGAGCTAAATGCTAGTGGTCGCTGCTCGCAGACTGAGCTGGATACATGCATTTTGTTGTAAGATGAGACAACACCGACAGGAGCAGGATGGTATGTACAAGGGGGGAACGTTGTTGCACACAAAGGGTGCCACCAAGCAAGACGCATTTGTGTCTGGAGCACCAGCAGTCGTAGAAGACGCGCACATGTTCAGGCATCAGGCGTAATTGGCGCATTGTCTGGACGGGGATTGTTAGCGGCAACCATTAGCAGCTTACACACACGCAACACGTTGCAGGTACACATAGTCTACATCGACTCGCGGCTAGGATATTGTTTCATCCTCAGAAAAGAGCCGGGTGCGGGGGGAGGGCCTGTCCGTCGTGACGTACAAGAGTGTCCTTATATTTCAAGCTGCCGACAGACTGCACGGAGTGCATACAAACCGACTGGCAACAGCCATATCACGAAAGGAACCGAAGAAGAGCACTGCTTGATCCACATATCGGGAGAAAGACCTCGTGATGCTCCCCATGATCAACTCCAACAACCAGACGGCGCATACTCATTTGTTCGCAATCATGCGGCCGAAAAAAACATGTGCGCGTCTGTCATTTTGGGTATATTGCGCGTAGAAGACTATGGGCACAAGCATCAAAGCCAGCAGCCTGGAGAGCGGCCAACATATACATGCCGATGACGCCTATCACAAGCTCACCGCTGCAGAGGGCCAACCGCTGGGTGGGAAAGCAGTCACGTTGCACGTGTGTGTTCCCCGATGGGGGACTTCTCAGAAAAATCCTCAAAATTGACACACCCCACGCCCAAAGTCCACACGGTGGGACCCCAAACTCCCTACAGCAACCAGCAACCCACAGCAGATGGTGTAGCCAGTGTTGAGCCAATCAGCTGCTAGTGCGCGTGCGAGCAAGAGAGTGAGAAGGAAGATACGGGAGCGGAGAGCTGCTGTGAGTGGACGTTTCACGTGACTTGTTGGCATGGGACTACATCTCAACCACACTGCTGGTATACCAGCTACCAGCTACAGCAGTTAGTTGGTGCTGAACCCCTTCAGTCAACAACTGCTGTGTACGTCTACTTGCACTCTACTGCTGTGTACAGCAGTACTGCTTGTGGTAGATTCGAATAGCGGATACTTTGTACGCCGCCGTACGCGCTGTAGGCTTGTCTACTGGCCGTTGACCTATGGATAGCATCTACCCCACATGTGTAAATGTAGGCGCATATGCATACATTGCAGGTGCATAGACTAATGTAGATTCTCGATGAATAGTCTACTTGGCCGTTGCATAGCACAGCATATCTTGCGAGATCTGTAAGGTAAAGCTAGAACCTGGTAGCATATGTACGTACCATCGACTCCGTTGCCATCACCTGGTGTATGTACTGCTGTGTATCCAGTAGCTGGTGGTATATCATGAAGGCGTGCACTACAATCTAATGGTCTTTAACAAGTAACCTGTACTGCTGTACTACGAGCTGTTAGGAGTTGGAGTCGCGCTCACTCCCCTTCGCTGCCGCAATCGACAAGAAACACTCGGAAAGAGTGCGTTGTACAATATGACTGCTGTGGTTATATTTCGAACGGGTAGTTTCTCTTTCTGTGTTCACATTCATTTTTCCTACTTCAGTGTTAAGTTTGCTTGTGTTCACCTGGAAATATGAAGCAGATATCTACCGACCCCCGCCAACCAAACCACCAAAAACATTTGCCGGCAGGGAGAGAAGAGAGAAAGCGGGAGAGGAGCTGAAAACCAAAGCCCTGTCTCCCCCCCCCGATTGCCTACAGACAGAGAGGGAGAGCGTGAGTTCACGCTATGGCGGGGAGGGGGCTGGGGGCGGCCGGCGGCCCCTCCAGCGGTGGCGGGAAAAGAGCGGCGGGGCACGTGCCGCGACCCATGTACGAGCCCATCAACACCTCAGCCCCCTCCAAGACGGACCTGGAGTTGGACGCCAAGCTGGAGGCGTTCATGCGGGATAACGTGCCGGTGATGACAAGCGTCGATCTGCGGAGGAGGGAGCAAGTGCTGGGGAAGATTCGGGCCATGTTTCTTCAGGTTTGTCGAAAACAGTGAAAAAGATGAGGCAGTTGTGCTACACCGCAAGAGATATGGCACTCCCCCTAGACCGGTTGTCGCCATCGGGGTTGGGTTTTCGTCGCTTGGCAACGACGCTGTAAAACAAACCGCCCCCCCGGTGTTTGCCATCGAGATTGGGTTTTCGTCGCTTGGCAACGACGTTGTAAAACAAGCCATTTCACTTCGTGAACTCGGCAACCAGGTAACCGTTTTTTTTTTTGACCTCCGTTTTGTTTTTTTGGCGGTAACCATAATGGTGGTCGAGTAGATCATGTTGTGTGGGGTGGAGAACCCTCACTCCGCGCAAGGGGGATGATCGCACCACGTTGTGTTTAATTGCTCAAGCACCCTCGAGGCAGTTACACAGTGCTTACAACTGTCTCAGGAAGTGAAAGCGCCAGAAAATAAATTAAGTCATTCGCAGCTGTCATCCGTACGCAAGGAAGTAAGCACAAGATGCCGAACACCCTTAGCAGGATGCAGCGCACCCTTCATGCGACTCGCCGAATATCTCACGGCGCTTCGCGCTTGGTGATGTGAGAGCCTGGTCCGGTGAGAACCCGGCGTGCTCCGTCCCGGCTTTGTAGGGATGCGAGGTCAATGGTCTAACGACTACGGCGTGCACGACTATGAGTACACCCCCCCCCCTAGACCGGTGTCCCAGTGGCCTTGGCATTTTATTTTTCTTGTTGAGCTCTCAGCAAGTCTCGATCTGAAGCGCATGCGATACAACGCAACTTCGAGATAACCCCCATGTAGATTATATGCTACCGTAAGAGACGGAGAGATGGTAGGCAACCCCTAGACCGATGCTTCAAAGCTCGATCGCTTCACAACCAAGCGCTTGTGCCAACACCAAAAATGTTGGTTGCGTAGAAACATGTCATCGGGGGCTTTCCGTGGACGTTGTATCGGGCTCATTGCCGCACCCCCTTGGTTGTCGAGCAATCGAGCCTTCAAGTCCGGTGGACTGCTTACGCAAAGAAACGAAGTTTATTGTGAAAATAGACCAGGGAGGGGGCACGCCGACCGTAACCCTATCCCGAACGTAGCTGATTCTATACTTAATCCAATATGTTTGCTTACGTAAAAAACCTGCGTAAGACTACTGTGCGTAAGATAACCACATCCCCCTTTTTTCAAAGCTCGACCACTCTCCGCGGTCAAGAGGATTCCAAAATGAAACGCTACAGCTGCTGTATGTTTTTGAAACGCGAGGCAGTGCCGCCATTTTCGGCACCATTGCTGCCTATGCTGCAGAGCGATCAAGATTTGAACATCAGGTCAGGGGGTATGGTGTCTTACATCATGCGACCCTACGGTATTCTGTTTTGGCCTGCGCCGGGCGGAGATGTCCGGTGGGGAGAGGCAACACCGCGAGCGACGGTTGCCAAGATGTTGAAGAAAAAAGACAGACACGAACGAAAGAGAACAGCGCTCTACCAATCGTTCTAGAACATAACTCACCCACATCGTTCTACAACATCGTTCCTGGTGTTTTGTTTTTTCCCACTACATGCTGGTCTTGTTGAGGGAAACCCGGTGGCCTCAGTAGTATCGCTGCTATTCTTATTTTTCTTTCGACCCGAAGAACCTTGCCAGAGAAAATTATCTGTACAAAAACTGATATGTGTGGACTTTACGACTTCTTCCTCGCATTGCCGTCTGTGAATGTGATGATGCCCTCTCTGCTGCCGCTGCTTCTTCACGGCTGGCACTGGTTGCCAGTGAGAGAATATAAACAGTTTTTTTTTGTCTGGTTGCCAGTGAGAGAATATAAAAACCTTCTTTTTAATCTGTTTTCCTTTTTTCCGTCTGTTGTCGGTTGTGTTTTGCAATATTCAATGCACACGGTGAACGCATTCTGTGTGATGCCCAACAGGTATTCCTTCATTTCGTTCTCTGCCCCTGTCTCTTTGTCGCCGTCTGTCTCTCTGTCTCTGTCTCTACTCGCCCTCTCTCTCCCCCCCCCTCCGCTTCTATCCATACGCTCTTTAGTCTGTGTCTGCATCTCTGTCTCCATCTCGCCCTCATAATTCTGCTCCCTCGTCTTCTAGCCTCTCTTTGTCTTTCCTCATCCCAACAACTTTCCTCTCCCAACCAACAGTGGGTAATCGATTCGGCCCTGGAGGCAGGCATGTCGGAAGAAGCGGCAAAGGCTGCCGGAGGAAAGATCTACACCTCCGGCTCTTACCGCCTCCGAATACACGAGCCCAACTCCGACATTGACGCTATCTGCGTGGCTCCGCAGGTGCGAAGGGGAATCAAGGGGGGGGGGAACGGGGGGCTAACGTACAAGTGCTTGTGTTGACACCGCAACCGCAGATAGGTTGTAGTCTGGGGTGCTGTGTTGTTGTTGTTGTTGTTGTTGTTGTTGTTGTTGTTTTCACATAAAAAGCCGTTCCGTTCTTTCTACCCAGAACCTTCCTCTGCCCGTACTAGTCTATCACTCGACGGGGTCGATTCCCGTGGTCACGGGCTATCTTACCCGAAAAAAGGTATACGAAAATATAAATGACGCGAAGGGTTCGCAAGCCAATAAAAGTCAACGACAGATAGTACAGGCCGCTCCGCTCGCCTCTATACGCTATCCGAGGTAACCCTAGATTGTGTACTGAAACAAAAATGAATGTTTTTGTCTTAGCACGGCAGAAACCACCCTCCTCGAGCTACTGTTTTTTCGCGGAGGGGCGGGGTTCGCGAGGCCCCTAGCGTTTGATACTATTCTTACGTAACCGTGAAATGTAAGTTTGGATAAGAGCTGTTTGTATGTGCACCGCACTTTTCATCTCGCGCGGTATGCCTTGCTCTTGCCGCATGGGTACTGCCGAGATCTCGCGGGTGTGGTGGGAAATAGAGACCGCTGCAACATGGAAGATAGTTAAAGCGCAAATCACGCGTTGAGTGTAAGCAACTGGCAGCACTGACGGCGCGTGGGACGTTTCGTGGTGTGCTTGGTGCATAGCTCGCTTTTCCAGAACCTTGGCCGCTCTCGCCTTCGCCAGTGGTACGGCCAGAGTTCCGGCTATTACAACCCCGCCGCAACAAGGACTAAGTTGTCATGGGTGGAAGGACGGCAATGGATTACGAGAGAATGGCTCCTGTTGTGCGGCATTGCCATCGTACAGACGGGCATCGTGTATGCTATGCGTTAAACGCGTTGCTCGAACGGGGCCTGTCTAAAATACGAAGCAACTCCCAAAATGTGTAAAGGGTACAGAGCAAGCACGGCACGTTTTTCTACGTGAACGCAAGCGTTTGGAACGGGAAGAAGTTACCCGAAGTTCTCGTGTGTGTGATGAAAAAAGGGAGGGGTGTGTGTGTAAAAATGGCAGACTTTCAGGAAACGTTTCTTTTCATCCCCAACAACAAGGACGAATCCCCCCCCCAAACAAGGACACCTCGTGCCCCCCCCCCCTTTACCGAAAAAAGCCTCGTATTCCCTCCCAAAAACGCAACAGTTTTGCACATCAGAGCTTTTCTTCACGACCCTGAAGGAGAGGCTCATCGCCCACCCGCTTGTGGCGAACGTGAACGCCATCCAGACCGCGGCGGTAAGCGCTTTGTGTAGATACATGCAACCGCCGTTTGTTACGTCCCGATCTTCTCCACCCCAAGCGGCCCGGGACACCGCGCTTGTCATCCTGCACGGAGGCGGCGGCTCCTGGTTGACCCGTTCCGCTTCCGACAGGGCTGCCGCCGTCGATAGAGCTCGGAACGTTCGGTTCCCTTGTGACGTTCTCTATCGCGTGCGCTGCTGCATTGTATGGTACGCGAAATTGTAATGTGGCGGTTGTGTTTATGTGGATCTGGTGCTATATTTTACATTTTGATCCCGTTGCAGACTAGTGCCGTGAATCGAGTTAGCCCGGTACTAACGCATGAGAGGAAAATTTACTTGCGGGCCCCCCCGGTGCATACCCACGCATACCTCTCCCCTTCTGGGTTAGGCGTTGTAGCTCCATGCTCATGTCCATGCGGGGGTCCTTTTTTTTTCTGACCCCTCCTCCCCCCTCCTCCCCTCGACAACAAAACCCGTTACAATTCTTTGCCTGCCGTCAGGTACCCATCATCGAGCTGGTGTTCGATGAAATCGACATCGACTTGGGCCTTGCCTGCTTGCCGGTGCCAACCGTGCCTCCAACCCTGGACATCGACGACGATCAGGTGCGGGAGGGATAGCGTAGGTACGAGTGTGAGCAGTGAAGAAGCATGGGTGTAACGATGTTCTAGTCGGGGGGGGGGGAAGGGGGTCAAGATTTTGTTCCTTTGGGGGTGCGCGGCATGTCCCCCCACGTGCATGCCCTCGTTTTCGTTTCCCTTGTTTTGCGACGTGTTGACGGTGCACTCGCTGCGCTTCTTTGGGCGCGCTTGCTTCTTCGTGGAGTGTATCTGCGCGCTTGAGGAAAACAACGCCCGTAATCAAGTGTTTGTTGTCATCAGTTTGTTGTCATCGGGGTTGCCGGTGGTGGTGGTGGTGCTCTTGACGTGGCGAGCGATCCTGACCTTCTCCATCCGAAAGCGTTCGATCGTCTCCCGCCGAAGAGTCGAGTCATCCCTCTGGCGAGAACAAAGACAATAAACGGTCGCCCGTGGGTACACGGGTCTACAAGTGTATTCTGAGCGTTTTTTTTGCTTTTGTGGTCATGTGTTTCGTGAACAGAAAAAAATCGTACCCCCGCTTTTTCTCGTCCGTTTTTTTCGCGTGCGTATATGAAATCCCGTGTTTTGTGCTGCTTTTTTTTTTTTTTTCGGTTTCAGGTTCTGGACGGTGTTGATAGGCCGACGGAGAAATGCGTCAACGGGCCCAGGGTTACCAACATGATCCACAGATTGGTGNGTGGGGGCAAACTCCGTAGGGTGTTGTAGTCAACGTTTTCGTGTGGGAGGGAAGAATGAAAGTAGGACATGCGCCGAGCACCTCTCGCCGTCATCGGCGTACCCCCCACCCGCCTAGCGTAGGCTGCAGCCGCCGAACGGAAGGGCGTCGAAAAAACAGACGGTGGTGATGGTGACGAATCAAAACCTCGGGCCCGAAGCCCGAAATGGACAATTCTTAGCTGTGCGACCCCCCCCCCCCNCCCCCCCCCCCCCCCTTGCCGTAGCAGCAGAACCCAGAGCGGCTCCACCCTGGTCCTCATGTGCTGTGCTGCAAAGGCTACGTACACAACAGTTATTCGTGAGGTTTGCCGCGCGATCTGCTCATGTTGTCTGTTGGTGGTGCTGTGTGCTGCCGGGTGGTGTGGGTCTCTTGTTCGAGTTGGAAGCGGGTTCTTTCTGTAGAGCTGGTTACGGAAGCATTTTTTGTCCAGGCACGGCATCATGTACGCTCGTTGGGATGTCTCGGTGTATTGACGGGCGCTGCAATCGGGATGTCAGGCTACTTGGCGAGCGGCTTGTGGTTTTGGTCGTTGGCCGGGATTGATCATCAGCCGGATTTTTTTGTGCCCCCGGACGCAGGCAGCCCCTCCGTTTTCCGCACGCGAAATATACAAGCAGAAATGCAATAACCGAGTTCGAAATCACACGCTAGCACCGATATGTTGTTTGTTCTTGTTGTTGTTTCTCACATTAGCTCTATAGTCCACAAAAAATAGGGAGCCCGTGGCCTCAAAACCCGGCACATACGACGCCGCGGGGAAACAAAAGAACAAAAATAGGGTACAAACCACTCGGAAAAAGAAAACAAAAATGATAGAAAGAAAAGAACAGGTATCGCACCGACCGTTCGAGAAAAGAACCCTCGGAAACCGATCAAAAGAAAACAAAACAAAAATAAACGAGGACGCTTCCCACCCCCGCCAAATCAAAATCAAAGGGTAACGTACCAGCACCAGGCACCACGCACCAGGACATGGGAGTAACGGAGCAAACAGGGCAAAGAGGCGGCAGATGGGGAGACAGCCAGACGTGCAAAAAACAAAGGCAACAGCAAAGCGAGATCAAGGTACCCAACAC